AGAAAAGAGCACTGTCAGGTTCAAAGTGAAAATGAGCTCAAAGCCGAGATCCACCTGCTTTTTAGGTGGGAGAGCTGCAATTCTCAGATTCACAGCGAAATCATCCCAGATAGCGGATCAAAACCGCACTTCTGGGCTTGAAAGGCTCGGGCAAGCTCAGTGAATCGGGCTTTAGTGGTTGTATCAAACCAGATATATTTATTTAATCTAGATGGAATATAAAGCTTTGTGATATTCTGAGAAGCAGTAAAGTTTCCATTTTTATTTAAACTGCCGAAAATAAATGCCAATGATGGGAGCCAACCAGAAAATTGCCCCAAAGGATGGCAGGACGGCTGCTCAATTGATAGTTTTCTTCTCCAAGTTTCATTTTAAGCAACTGAAATGTATTTAACTAAATGATTCTCCAGTGAGACCATTAGAATAGCTTTATTATTGCTGCCACAATGGGATTTGGGATCCACTCAATTTTAAGAAATTGACTGAAATTCCAATCATAGAGCTGGTGTGTTTTCAATGGCGCGCTGTACACTGAGCAGTGTTGATGCACATTACAATAAGGAGGCGCTGGACTCAGTTTAGTTAATAATATTAAATCAGAGATGTTAAATTAATTTCTAAGCTAGGCTCATGAATAGCTCTAAAATTAGGATGAGGCTTGACGACTGAACAACTTGCCCATTTTCTCATTGCTCGTTGGTGACATAATCTGGATCAGACACAGATTTAGAATACAAGCCTATCAGCTTAATGAAATCAGGAAGGACCCTAAAGGGCACTTGACCCAATGTCCTCCACTTTTTAAATAAGAGGTTAGGAGACACAAGGTGGTTAGGAGACTTGGAATCCAGTCTCAGATTTGCAATGTTTTTGTTGTGTGAACCCCCCACCCCCTCCCAGGAGAGTCCTTTAGCCTCTCAGTGCCACTTTCTTCACCTGAAAACCAGATAACCACAGTAACCTCACCGAACTGTGCTCAAGACTAAGGAGATAAATACAACACAGGCATTCAGCACACTCTGGTGCATCATAAGTACACGTCAACATGAGCAGTTACAGTGCTATCATGGTAATTCTTAAGGAGCAACTCTTAAGCATGAACAAACCAATCTTGGAAGAAATGCAGCCAGAATCCTCCTTAGAAGTGAAGACTTTGGCTTGTTTACTTCGGATATATCGTCCGGAAAGCCCCATGGCTAGAGAAGGGCAACACAGGCTTTCCCCGACTAATCTGTATGGGAGCAGAGTGACATGTCTTTTTTCCAGGGTAACTGGGTGGATTTGAACCAGGACCAGTACCAGCCTGATATTCCTATTTTGCACTGCTAGGTAGCTCCATGTCCTTGATACATCTACCATGAAGGAATGAAGGAAGAATAGGGACACGTGAAAGAGAAAGCTATGTGGACCTGTAACATGGGTGGGATTCCTCCTGCTGGGCTAACAGAGACACGTAGGAGCCCAATGGTCACCAGTCTCAGACATGTTCCATTTAGTCAACAGCTACTGTTCTTAAAATGGTTTAATTCGGATGACCTTTCTGACCTATAAAAGCATGAACTCATCAAGAAGCCACATAAAGAATATGTTTTACATTTTGAAGATTAAGGTATATGTGACCCAAACCGTGGCATTTTCAATCATACAAGTTGGACAATGAATCAGGAAAACAGGAGAATGGGTGCAACTGAATGACGGTGTCGGCCAGGACACTGGATGCCGGAAGAGCAAGCAGATCCATCGTGGAAGAAGCACAGCCAGAGTGCTCCTTAGAAGCGAGAAAGCGAGGGCAACGGACGTACCAGTGTGCTTTATACAACTGATGTAAGTATGGAGTATGATAAGCGTTGTATGGCGAGACTTCAGCTCCTGTATGGACATGTGTGGACATGGAGGAGGGCATTATGCTTGGTTAAGTAGGTCAGCAAAAAAGAGGAAGACTCTTAATGAGATGGACTGACAGCGACTAGCAACAGGCTCAAACATAACAAGCACTGTGAGGATGCTGCAGGCCAGCAGTTTTGTCTTGTTGGACATGGGGTCACGATGAGTCAGAATCGACCTCAACAGTATCTAACAGCATGGTATGTGACCCACGGTTCTCCGTTTGATATTTTTTCTTTTCAGTAACTAATCTCAGTATGCTCACTGGGTACTTAAAACACCTTTTCTTGTCATAAACTAAAGGGAGAATTTCTTCCTCATCTGAGAAGGACCAGTGTATATGCAAATAGGGTTAAAGCTTTCACCAGAACCAGAAGCAAATGTACGGGGGTGCAAACATGTCAAAACAACAGACACAAACCCCGAGACTACAGTGAGTTAAGTCCAAGTCTAGACGAGAACAAAACCCAAACACCTTTTTATGTAACACCGATGTGATTCAGCAGACCAGCCGCTGAAGAAAACAGTCCTGTGAAAAGCGGCAATTTCATCCATACCCTGTATTTAGGATTTCAGCTATTGGGGATAAAATAGTTTGGCAAACTTACCCGCATTTTTGCACAAGCATCCTGGGTTGATTCTGTCCCCCTGAGCTCTTTTATCAGCATAGAACCTAAATACTAAAAAAAATAAACAAAAAAACAATGACTTATGAGACAGACAACACCTGGCTGTCAGTAATGATCTAAAAACAAATTGTGGAAGTACCCAGGTCTAGGTTTCCTGGCTATAAATTGTTACACAACTTTTCAAAGCTAGCAGCAATTCATCGCTAACAAATCAATGCATCCTCTGGGAGAATGCAGCACAATTAACCAAAAGTTCTGGGGATAGTAATTGTTCGTCATAAGAAATTGCGACTTTTCTAAAAATGCCATCTTTCAAATCATATTAAACTGCAAAATGGGGCATCTAAAAATGTTTTCTCCTTTTATTTTTCCCTCTGAGGCAGCAATGTCTACAAAAATAAATCACACTACTATCTATGTAATTACAGGGTTGTATGAGACAGCTGAGAAGCTAAGCAACATGCACCCCATTTGGGCTTCTTCAGATGCATAGGTAATGAACATGGGGCCGTTCTTGGGCAGCGATGCGCTTTTGGACCCCTTCATTCAGACGCATGCTCTGGGTGGCGCCGCCGGAGAACAGGGAGGAAGGCTGTAATTCTCAGTTGTCTCACGGCTGAAGGAAGTTCTGAGTCCTGTTCCAGACTGACACTTGGAGAACCTCAGTGGGGTGGGGGGCGTAGGGGGGCCGAGGCCGTAGGATGAGAAAGGCAACTCCTTGATGCTGGCAAGCCCTTTGCTGTTAGGGTGACTGTATCCAATACTGCCCTGGGACAAAACGCCACTCACGCTGACAGGTGCCTTTGTTAGCCTTTTGAAGCTTCCAGGGGTTCCTTCCTTTTGCTGTCACTTACACGCCCCCCCCC